GTACTCTTGAGAGGATGCATTTAACCCTTTAGTTGATGACACCCTCACGACTGGCTTTCATACTGCATTTTCTGCGCGACAGGCTGAATCTATCGATGTTTGGCTTGTGGCTGTTGAAATGCACCATCCAATCGTACTGGTCCATGGTCATTAAACAGGTTGACCGTGAACGAACGGTCCCATATCTCGAGGCAGTAAAGCTTTTGTCGAGTGCTTCGACACCAGATGGTCACTGATATCCATCTATGTATTCTCGTCTGTCAGTCGTCTTCCGACCATTCTCCGTTACTTGCGGTCATTGCATTTTGCCTCATTGGATATATGATGGACTTACCGAGGCCTATCGTAAAGACTCGACTCGTATAATTAGGCTCAAGGACGATAAAGTAGGTCCCGTCGAGGAATTCTCATTTTTCGCCCAAATATGCGCGCAGCGTTCGTCAACGTTGCGGTCCTCATCTCCTCGTTCTCTCTGCTTGGGGCGGCCCAGTCCTTCGGCGGTGGAACAGATATCTGTGGAGAAGTTGATGCCGTTCTGAAGGTGCCCAGCTTGTACTACCCCTACAAGCCCATTACCTTTGGAAACATAAGTTTGGATTTCGTTTATCGCATCTGAATAATCGCTGATTAGTTTTTAGACGACTGTCTTTGTATCTCCAAGATCCCTAGCTACGTTTCATCCAACCCTTTTGCTATTTCGGCCACAGAAGTTGCTGGAAGATCTGCAGTAACATCTGCTCTCACGGCAATGGTTTGTTCCTTCATGGTTATTGGCTTTGCATAGGCACTGAACTTCTACTAGGTCAATGCTTGTCAAAAGCAGACTTGCCATTATCCGGCTCATTCCGTGCCATCTTGCCAGCATGGGAACCCTTGTGGTTTTACCTGCACGGATGGGTCAGTAACTTGCAACCCCAAGAAAATAAACACGCCGCTGATGTCGAGTATATTTGTCCGCAGCTATACTCCCTTCCTGTATGGTTCTCATCCCACGACATGCGTCTGCGCGAAGCCGTACACTCTTTGTAACGGCAAATGTGGTTTGTTCAAAGCCTGCCCAAGTAGCCACCCCGTTTACAAAAGAGGAATGAACGGTCCCAACGACCACCGATGTGCAGAAGGATTGACGTCTTGTCCCATTATCGGACGCGGCCTGCAGTCGTGGGAGTGCGTAGATACCGAGAACGACCTCGAGAGCTGTGAGTCTCTGGTCCATGGATGTCAGTAACCCGACTAACGAAGTCAAAACAGGTGGCGGATGTGTTCTTCCGGACCACCCTGGTATGCATCCTGAAGGCGTAGACTGCACCGCCATTCAAGATGTCTCTGACGTCTCCTGCATCCATGGACAATGCGTCGTCCGCCGGTGCATGCCAGGATATGCTCCCAATCTCCTTGGTGACTCCTGCGTTCTGTCCGAGGAAGAATCCTACCTGTCAGAGACCGTTCTGGTATCTCAGGCGTGAACGTCGGAATCCTTGCTTGGACATGCTTTCTTAATGTCAAGACAATCTTTCTCGTTACTGACATTTTCCTTGTACTCAATCTATCTCTTTCAAGCAAAAAATAAGCACCAATATCTGAATGTACTTTGTCCTAGCGCGGCTTTTCGCAACAAATAAAGATCTTGGTTGATCGAATATCGCACTTTTTGCGTAAGTTATCGAGTTGATACATGGAGACCATCATAATCTATTCAAATTGGGTTCTTAAGTATAAATCCATGGATGCGAATTGTAATAGAGCGAAGGAATGCATATTGCACATACCTCTAGTCCGTAGCTGATAGGAAATTATACTGTGGGTGACATGTCATAAATAGAATTGTCGTCGCAAACCTTAGCCAGGAAAGAGGCTGACATACGACATCGCGCGATCCATTTCATTGAGAAGGCGTATATAAAGGAAGACTGAGCAATCGGACCTTGCTTCCTAGTACCTCGGGGACAAATTCTCCCAGTAATCGTCTAGAAATTAGCTCGAACTACGGTTTCATACAAGAGTCATAGCCATGCATCGTCTAGCTTCACCAATCGTGCTTGTCGTCATCCTCCTCACCCTCACCGTGTGCGGAGCGTCCGCCTTGGCACCGCCCCACAGGCAACACATCAAGGTGCTACATCGAAAAAGCTTTCGATTCGGCCATCCAGTCCAGACCAAGAGCTCGAACCCCTTACCAGAACAGGTCGTTCACGACGATTCCGACGAATCACACAATCGGCCTGACGATCAACATGGAAACGGTGCAGATGCCGAAGAATATATCGACCAATTTGACAGAGATTTTCGGTTGGGCAGGGAAGCAATGTCGAGGATGAGACCGATACTCCTCAAGCAGAGGCGGAGAGAGCAAGTCTATCGTACCATCAAGGAAGCCGCGGATGCGAAGGACCATGAAGAGCGACGAGAAGTGCGAGATACGTAGCAGATTCCTTGGCTGGGGTAAAGAGGGCTTTCAGCGCAGGCATAATCACTTAGTAACCACCGAACGACATCCCAGATGTCGTTCGTGTGAACAGGAGAGAAGCAGTTCATAGTATTTTGCGACCAAATTTAAGCGCCTGACATGAGAACACTTCGAGAAGCTTTCGGACGTGGGAGAAAAAAGAAGTCGAACATGGACGATTAGCAAACGATTTAGGTTCGGAGCAAGCCCCGCTGCGGCCCGGTTCCCGGGCACCTTCGCAGAAGGGGCTTGCTTCAAAGTCCATCAAAACAAGGGCTTGCTCGTGCAGCCTCTACACTCGCCACACTCAACGCGCATCTACAATTCTTGCTGAAATGGACACTTAAGATGTAGTTGTATGCAAATGTGTCTTTACATCGTCGAAAATACGTTCCATTTTATTTCAAAAGGATATGGAACCCCGGGTATGTGTAAAATCAGAAAAACAGGATCTTGAAAACAGCGGTATCGTTTTCGACCAAGCAAAGTTGACACAAGTATACTAGTATAGTATTATGGTCGTTTAAAAAATACCTGAGAGCTCAGGATGTTGTCGTGGCTCATAGCTGAGGTGGTTTATGACGAGAAGCTACCGTGATGCTCGATTGTCACAACGGTCACATACGCGCGGCAACCGCGTGCGGCGCGTGCGTGCAAAGATGCATCGACTCTTAAGTAAGTACTACATGGTATACCATGATGCGGGACGTTCATTTGGAGCAAGTGGTCGGTGCAGGAGGGATTGGGAGGGAATATCGATTTCGATAATCAGATTTCGATGATTATTGGGATTGTAGTGGGACTCCGGATATTTTTTATTCGGAGGTCACGTGCTCAATACTGATGTATCGAAATAACATCGGATTTGAGATTCTAACCTCGAAAGAGAGGTCTCTGGCTCACTCTACGTGGATATTTTTGATGGAACATATAAAAATGTTCTCTTATATGCCTCTTACAAATTTATAGAGCTCAGGATGCACAACTGGTGATACATTGATGTGTAAGATAAAAAGCTCAAATATAGCACACCGCTTCACGCATATCTTTACCAGTTGAAAACATTGTAAGATTCTAAGTAGGCGAAATCCTCCGAGACATGTCCAAACACAAATTTTCCAGCAAAGGTTAAGGCATAGGTGTGGAGACTGGTCCAAGCGGTGGCCACAAACAACCCCCCAGAATCGCGGACATTGAAGCAAGCCCCTTGTCAGGATGTGCTGTCTCCAGTTGTTGACTTTCCGCCCTGAACCTTAATTTTCTTTTGGGATTTGGAATTCTAGAAAGTCCGCCCCGCCTTTGTTTACTTTGGTTCTCGACCGAAAATAGGCTGAGCGCGGGCGGCTGCCGTTCTAGCTCATGGGGCCGCAAACGCTGGCATGATGCATCAATGCAAAGTTCGGATCCCTGCTGGCTCGCAGAAGCTGCAGGCCCAACGGCGGGATAACCACACGCATGTAGCTTTAAGATAAATATATTTTATACACTAAATAGAATACTTAGAAGACAATTTAAGCAACATTTCTACAGAGAGTGAAAAGTACACGACAAGGTAAGAAAGGGATGGATTACTACTAAGTCACGGTATGCAATGTACATAGGTGTATTAGAGTGAGTTAGAATGGGGAGGGCGTGGTCGGACAGAGGGCGCGAGAACGCAGGGATGGAGATATACCTGGTGGCCCTCACTCCCCTTCGTGTTCCTTCACCGCCCAAGGTGCTCGCGAGGTTTGTATTTGTGGGCGGGTTGTAAGCGTGCAGGGGCGGTCCAGGGGTGCCGCGGGTGTTCATGGGTATTTGAGGTGTTCGCAAGTGGGTGTCGGTTGCTCGCGAGCCTTCGTGGGCGGCAGTAGGCATCCACAGGCGGTCGAGAGGGGTGCTCGTGCCTAGCCGCACGTAATCGAGGGTGCTCGGGGCTGTCTGAGTGTGTTTCATGGGCGGTCGATGGGGATCCATGGGCAGTTGGTCAGAGCTGTACGCCAGCGGTCAGCAGTTTGCCCTCACATCTTGCTTCACCTTCTTCCCACTCCGTTCTCATGGTCTTGTAGCTCGAGTCCGTTCAGGCTCTCGTGCACCATCGAGACCGCCGCCCTGAAGTCGAAGAAGAATGGCTTGGGCGAGATGCCCGCCGTGGCCATGGTACAAGTCCGGGGGTACCGCTGAGAATGAAGTCGCGGATTCACAAGAGGGGGGCGTGGTTCTGGAAGTGAGTTTGGCGGGGATGATGTGAGTAGGAAAAGCACGAGTTATTCTTAGCACGTACCCATTTCGGACAATGAGCCAAAGTAAACAAAGGCGGAAGGCGGACTTTCTAGAATTCCAAATCCAAAAATAAAATTAAGGTTCAGGGCGGAAAGTCAAAAGTGGCTGTCTCCACATAAATCAATATACACAAAAACAAACAGCGGCATCCTGATAAGGGAGCTTGATCCGAGCCTACAAACGATTCAAGTTGAATTGGAGGAGAGAGAGTCAAGAATCAAATTCGACCAACTTAAACTAAGTACAAATTATAGACTCGAGAACCCAGCTTGATTTATTTTGTTTTCAAAAAGGGCCTCACTGGGAATTGAACCCAGGACCTCTTCCAATTGTGCATCGCCCAAAGGAAGAATCATGCTACTAGACCATAAGGCCGATATCAGAACTGGAGATATGACTTTATAATTATTCGTATTGACCGGAGACCAGCACTTCGCTGACTAAATTGCCGGGCCCACCGTCCAACCCCAACTCATCCATAACGAATCCACACCCTTTTTCGTTTCCACCGTCTACTATCCATCCAGGATACCTTGTTGAAGAAGGCCGTACTTTGAAAAAGACACAAATATGGCTCTCTCTTTGGACCTGGGAACACCGGTAAACACTGCGCTCTTTCTGTACATCCTGTACTCCGTGCAACGCATAATCTTCCCCACGACATCCAAGCCAACTACAATCCCAAACGAATTTAAAGCTGGATACTCCTGGCTTCCTAAAGCCCACCCTCCAACCGTTCTTTACAGAATCTATACCCCCAAGACTCTGGAACCATTCAGCGGACTTGATGGAGGAAGGATATTGCTGGCCATTAACGGAATTGTATTCGATGTCACAGCTGGAAGGAATTTCTATGGACCCAGTACGTCTCAAAGATTAATATTCACGCCCTAGTTGGACTAATATATCTGTAGATGGGATGTATGGCAATTTTGCTGGTAGAGATGCGTCTCGGGGAATGGCCAAGCAGTCATTTGATCTCGGTATATTTGACCTGCTGCCTTCGTGTCAGCGCTCTTACTGATTTCTGCCAGATATGCTGACGCCCGTGGACCAACCACTTGATAAACTGACCGACTTGAAGCACGATGAGATGTAAGTCTTGAAATTATTCAGGTTGAGTGTTGCTGACGCGTCATCCGGTACATTCAGTGACAATATGAAAGGTCCGTTCTTTCTCCCTACCGTTGGACTTAGGATCCTATGCCAATTTTTACATCTAATCCTTCAGGCTGGATTGACCACTTCTCAAACAAGTATATCATTTGTGGCAAACTCGTTGAAAATGATGCTATTTAGATGTTTGACGCTGCGTTATAGAGTTTGTAATTGTATTTCATTCAAACACGGCTGCTCTTGTCTATCTTGTGTTCAGTGCATTAAGGTTGTATCCGATGTCACAGATCGAACGATTTTCTGACGAACCAGTAAGTGCCAAATATCTTCGGATCTCTTTTGAACTAAAAGAGATTGTAGTCGAAAGGTATGGCAAGGAGCCCGAATTTATGCATACGGCTTGACAAGTTATGAAGAATTGAGGCTTGAAGCACCTTGCGGCGTGCTTGCGTATTCTGTAGTCTCTTGAATTTCTTGTCCTGACGATGGTCTATTTCCTTGACGGTCTTGAAATTCTTGCAATGGCAGTCGCCCCCGATGGGGATCTGTCAATTGATCACTCTCCTCGCCACTATCTCCGCTTTTATCTTCTCGTTTGAGGCCCTTCAACCATCTGACAAATGAAAGATTTTCCTGTTGAGGTACCCGGGATAGGAGGCATGTCAAATCATCACCATACAGAAAATTAACAAGACTCGCCTCAATCATCCTGTTCGGCACCTGTCTTTGCACCCAAAACTTGGGAATCAACCCACCTGGGTCCACACGAGCCAGCCTTCGCCACTCAATAATGTCGCCGTCTAGTTCGTGAATATGCTCGACCGAGACAAACCGACCTCTTACGCCCTTTTCCTCGACTTCAGTGAGATCCTGCGTGTCCTTGGAGGAAAGGTCGACAGGTAGCGTGACCACAATCCTTTGCCGGGTTTGAGTTGATAGTCTTCCTAGGTATTTTAAACAAACTCTTACCCTCTGCGTTTGTGCGAATGTTCAAATAGCCACGAGGCTTGATACACGGCGAATACTCGAGGAGACAATGGAGGAGGATAGGTGGCTAACATCGTCCATATTGATTGCGATTCCGATATATATTTGACGCGTGCTACTTTAGCGAGGCCGGCGACATAGCTCGATGGTTCCGATCGTCGTGTTTATACATGAGCAAGCTTGTACGGAGAATGCAAGAGATTCACCTTTTCTGATGCCGCACTTTGTTCTTCCCCAACTTGGACCAAAGTTTGCTGAAGGAAATCTCGTCTTTTTGAATTTCGGTCACTGTACAGTGCCAAGCGTTGGATGACTTCTGGTCTCCCTCGGACTCTCGGTGAATGAAGGTCTTGATATTTTGATGCACCTTCCCTGCTTGCCAAGAGGCAGATACCTCCAAAATGGCTTGCGCGTCGCTGATGAGGACGTTCTCCGGCGGGATGTCTGATGCCCATGTTTTTATTAGTTTGTGTCCGAAAATCCTTAAGGCCGAGTGGATAGTAGCTTACGAGAGGGCGTTATGGCATGCAAGGAGAAGCTCTCTGGAATTTCGAACCTCGCTTGGGCTGCCATTCATATGTTTACCCAAGGAGAAATAGAGCGGGTGTTGGTTGTCGGATCGATAGGTTTGCGCACGTACGTCAAGACGTTGAAATGAAGTGGGATATCCAAGTAAAACGGAGAACAATGAGAGATAAGGACGAGAGTGGGAAGAGAGGTAGTTGCGTAATAATCCTGGCCTAAGGACAACAATTTATTCCGGGGCGTTCGGCCGTCTTTGAAGGGATCTAAATAGAGATCAAGAGATCAAGTAGTTCATAATTTCGGCAGCTCCACAGCTGCTCCAGGGAGGATGTGGGTAAAATTATTATTATCCCAATCGCGGCGTCAAGGATACTTCTAACAAGGAACAATGCGGAAAACATATGGCTGTGTCCTTTGTGACGACATAACGCAACAGTCCGCGAGGTACAGGTACAGGGAGGCATAAAATTGAGAGGTGAAAAACCTTAAATTTCACTCCTACTAAACTACCCAATAACGGGAGACTTTCCACGAAAAAGGAGCTAACACGCTAGCATGGGTTTGCAAGCATGGGCGACCCTGGGGTAGTAGGTACGAGCTAACCATAGGCGCCAAATATGTGAGCGGACCCTGTCGGCCCGAGAGAACGAGGCGTCAGGATCGTCGTACACATTCTGAGGACTTGAGAAAGGGAAAGAAACAAATGACGCCATTGTTGAGGGTAGTAAAATTATATAGAGCTTCTATATGAGGAAGTAGTAGAAGATAAACGAGTCCTCACTGACTAACGGAAAAATCATAGAACGCATGGTAACCACGCCGTTGAAACAGAGAAGTCCTGGAGAATCATATGGAATTTTTAGTGAGGGTTTGGAGTTTTGATGTGAAAGCCATCTGACCCGTCGGCGAATGAAGCAATCCAGCCATAAGCAGATAGAGATAGAAATGGGTTATCAAGATAAAGTCCGCGAGTCCGAAACGTAGCAAGATCCAGAGAAGAGGGTAAAAGGTATAGACAGACTAGTTGCAGGCCATTGTTGCCATTGTAGACAGAACCGCCGGCATGTTTTCCTTGCCACGGGTACGGCGGACGCTTTTGCCCTTCGATGATCCTTTTACTATCTTGGTGTTGCTCTCAGCTACCAAGATATCCCGCCCGCGGATATTACCGATGTCCTTGAGCAATCCAGGTTGGACAGGAGTAGGGGCATAAATCACATCAGGCTTCTGAACTTTGAGGCGTACATGCTGTGGTTTGTGACCGCTCTTGTAGGCCCAAGGAATATGAACGTGGCCAGAAATCATATCAATCTCGGCTTTTGTGGCAACGCGGGTACTAAGTGGTTCGGCATGAGGGTGGCGTCCCACGACAGAGTCAGCCACCGCCATCCATCCAGCGATGTGTGGAGTGACAACGCCTGTAGGTGCCGATGGCGTGGTTGTCATCTGAGCTCCACTGAGGTAAGGAGACCCACGAGTAGTAGCAGGGGGTATATGGAGTCCACTAGCCCCGCGATAAACGGTTATGTTGCGATGGTGTGGAGCAGATGGGCGTTTTCGGATGGGACCAAAGAACGCAGACATCCGATGGGCATTATTCGGCCTTTGTTCGCATCGAAGTTGCATCGTAGAGTTTGAGATAGGGATATCTGTGCCGCTGGGGTTGGAGGCCGCGTTGCTGGATTCGCTCGTCTGAGAAATAGACGAACGTGAGACGTAGACGAAAGCAAACAAATCCACAGACACGTACCTTGACGTCAGTCGGGTTTGAAAGTCGACCAGGGAGGCCTAATTTATAGCACACGGTTTGAAAGACAGGAGAACCGTAGAAGACAATGGCAGTAGCGAGCACCAGGATAGAGACGCCTATCCCGACGAGGATCAGAGTGGTACGCGCTTCAGATTCAAGAGTGAGGTCAAGATCAAGGTCGCGAGTAAAAATAGTTGGCATATACCGACCACCGTGGGTTGGCAGTCGATGTCGTCAAGCCTGGATGGCTCAAGTCCTTGCTGGGCTTCGCGTCTTCCGTTATAAGTACTTCTGACCGAGATGAAAAATGGGCTGACTGCCGTTGGATCAATTTATAGTTTGACCAGAGGCGATAGGAGTGATTCACCTTGAGCTTGAAGATTGGCTGCTCGCTGATTTGAAAATGTCCGAGGGGTAATTGCGGACCAGGCGGTGATCAGACGTCAGAAATATCAACCAGCACCTTGTTTGGCATCGACTCGGATGTAACGTATGTTCTATTCTGATAGCCACATGTATGAGTAGATAAAAGTCATGATAGCGTGTACTTCCCAGCTTTCATTCTCAGGTTGAAGCTGTGCGGCGAAAAAGACAGGCGAATAGCTTTAAAAGCGGGGTAATTTCTTGCGGCTGGAAACATTTGTCTGGGTAGTACTAGGACTCGTAATTTGCGTAGAAATTGGCAGGCTGCAAAGTCCAGAAAGGCAAAAACATAAGTGAGTTAAAAAATCCTTAACACATCGAGCCCAAGTCACTTACTGTGGGCATCCGAGCCGCAAACCTGTACAATCGTAATGGTCAAGACTCAAGTTCAAGAATCAAGAGTGCCAGATGGCGAATGGTTGATCGTCACGTGATAATTTAGGGTAGCCCCAAACGCGACGAGGATCTCATTTGAGATTCTACAGAAGCTCAGTCCACTGTCCACACATTTCTTACAATCTTCCAGACCAAGGCTTATCACGACAATATCTACCATTCAAATATGGATTGGGAA